CTTCTCGATTGGTCTGTTCCGAGCCGTCAAGTGCGATAAAAGGCCGCCTCGCGCCCAGCAAAAATCGGCTGCTGAACGTCCCCCGCGACTCCATCCCGAACTCTTTACAGTACAGTTCTAGACCCGGAGAACTTCGAAACAGCTCTGGAGAATTACGTTTCCGCCAGATCTAGAGAGATTATTATAAGAAGGGACCGCTTCGACAACTACTGCTTGGCCACTGCTGGCAATATAACTGCAAGTTACATCAATGCAATCATTTTGTCAGTGTATTCGTTTATATTTCGTTATTTGTAAATGAATTGATCACTTTCTCTAGCAAAGTTATCACCCTGCATAACACATTTGTTTCCAAACGTGACAAATTGCTCCCTTTCTAGAAAACTCCTCGACACCCCTAGGAGTTAAGGCGTTAATACAAGCATACCGGGCAAAATCAGCTTTAATGTCCATAATGACTGATTCAAGACTAGTTCCTCCTCTATAATCTTAGTGCAAGGTTGTAGTCTGGAGTGTTAGGTGCCCTGGACCCAGCACATTTATTTTGTGAAGTGAGCTTAGAGCTCATTTGCATTTCAATGTCTGTTGTCAACCCGGAGCTTTCGTATTAAAAATCCGCAGAATTCTTTGCGTGTAATACAAGATGCAGTGAGGAGTTTTCAAAATTGACGTGTCACAGTCCTAAGATTACCATGCATGACACAAATAGTCCAAAACCATTTGTTAAACAACGAACGATGAAGCGCCTCTACAATATTTCATGCATTAAATTTTAAGATGGTGATTCACGATCCCCCCTCTCCCACACATATACAAAACACTTCTCTTTGGGTCCGTACTTGTAAATCTGGGCAAGTAGCGACTGTTCGCGCAGACCCGATCGGCGAAATACGATGCATGGATTCAGTGCGAGAGATTTCGAAAACAGGAAGAACCAGAAATGCACATAAAACACGCGGTGCAACTGAAGTTGTAAGAACTCTTCTGTATAAATTGCGAACGTCGTATTTAATGGGTTTTGATAAAGTTTTCCAATTACTTCGCAGCACGTTTACTACATCCAACGTGAATCGCGTGGTATTACGAGTCCTACTTCAGTCACAGGCATGCGGATGGTATAATTTCTAATGGACCAGAACAACTGCCAGGTGTGCTAGGAGTATCAGAAGAGTTAATGATACGAATATATATTTTTTTACGGTAAATGCTTTGACTTTATTTCGCAAGTAAACTTAGTTTCATTCACACGATTAATTTATAATGTGTTAAATGCGTTTGGGTTTTTGTCAAATAATAAAACATTTATTATAAATGTTAGTTTTCACATTTTTAACGAATGTCAGAATTGTTTGGTACAAGACATATTTCAAAGAAAGACCGATTTCTCAAAGCAACTGGAGACGTGTTCCCCGTTTTCAATGGAGTAAACGAAGCGAAGAGACCGCTGCGTCGATGCAATTGGGCACCGCCGACTTCTAAGGCAACGAATGCATTCAGCGCCTCGTCCGCCTTCTCTGGCTTCCCCAGCGGGTCCTCAGAGATCGCTCCGCGGAGGGCGAGGCGGGCGCGAGGCGGTGCATTTCATTAGGGCGAGAAGAAAGACCGCTGCGGGGGAGGGAGTGGCAGGGAGGGGAAGGGAGGGAAAGGGAAGGGAAGGGAGGGGTTGGGGGCCGTCTCCAGGGCCGCAGCTGGCGCGGGGCGCACGCCTGGGCGGGGCTTCCTCCACCCACGCACTGCCTCTGCGCCGCACTCATTCACATCCACTCGGGGGCGCTGTACAGCGATTGTCCACGCTTTTATATTAGCTATTTACTGCATGTACGTGGCGCTAGAAACCTCATGAAGAAAGGAAGATTTTTACTAGTTTTCTTAGAAACATCTAATATTCAGATGGAAATATGGCTTCGCTTTCGGGCACGAAAGTGGACTTTCATATGGAAAATAAAGAACGTTTCTGCTTAACACTGATCAAGATGAATCGACCCTGGTACGTTTTCAACCTCCCTTATCGTAATGTACAGACAACTGCACGTTACAATGAACGAAGGTAATACGTTTTCCTAGATGTCAATACAACAAATACATTTTCCATTGCTTTGTATTTCAGGATGTGGCGAACATATAAATGAATAATAACTAAACGTACGTTCGGGTTCTCAAAACGAGACGATCGATTGCTGCTATAAAGAGGGTCAGACGTAGCAGAATTGTTGGATCTTGAAACATCGCAAAAAACGCCGTCTCCTACGCGTTTTATCACCGGCCTGTCTCCATTCCCCCTTCCCCCAGACATGTGCATCACAACCTGATCCCAACAACATCCATCAAAGCGCCACATCGTCCGTCTGATTCGACGTAGCATCGTCGCCGTCAACCGCGCTGGCTGGCGCTTCCTTTCGTGGGCCCGGAAGCGCGGCGGGCGGCGCGGCGAGCGGTCGCTAAGCAACGCCTCCCCAACGCACCGCCCACCCAGCGCGCCCGCGCGATCGAAGCGACGCGAGGCGCTGCGCTGCGGGGAGTGGAGCGGGGAGGGGCGGGGCGAAAGCCCGGGCGGCTGCCAGCGCTCATCGCGGGAATCGCCCAACCCCCGCAGCACGCACACGCCCAGCCCACCAACCGGCCCGACGGCCGCGCGTTTCACGGGCGACCCTGTCCCTAAGGGGCGTGGTCGGAAACGCTGCTTGGTCGGCATTCCGAGACTATTCACGTCCAGGCTCGATCATGAAAAACCTATTCCATACATTGCACGACATTCCTGTTTTAGTGATCTCGGTGGCGAATGGTTGAGGAACGAGACTGACTGAGGCTATGAAGCTGTTGAATCTGACAACGGCTGGCACACGACTGCGTATGGCGCAAATGTTCCCGAAAAACCATCGATGTCAATGATACCGAACGCATGGCGACATTAGATTGACCGGACGCTGCCCCACGACAGCAGATGGTTAAGAAGGGCACATGTGCCAATCCAAATTTTAGCGCATGTGCCATCGAAGATTCTTTTTTACTCAGTTCAGCTTTAAATGAACTGCTTATGCGCAGTACATGGCCAGCAACATATTCTCATTTTCATTTCAATTACAGATTGTAGTCAGAAATGATTAGAGTTAGATTGTTGTAAATAAACTAATGTGCCCGGACCCTCCCATTTAACTTAAGGCAATTTGAATACTGCAATGCTTAATATATATATATATATATATATATATATATATATATATATATATAAGTTTCTATAAATATAAGTTTCGAAAATTATGGTAGCTCGGAATTTACTAGTAGAGAAATGTTTTATAATGGAACCAAGTTATCTCGAATCGGAAGCTTCGGACTGTGAAATATTTACCCACATTCTAGTGAGACCAGATTCGAGATGTAGAAATTAGAGAAAGTCGAGAATAGTTTCTCACCGGAATTTTCCATTTATAAAACTAAATGCGCATAACTTGGATGGAAAGCCTATAAAAACTTTTACAAGGGAGGAACATTTTCCTATGTTTTTCAAAGCTCTTAAAAGTAACCATCTTAGATGTTGCCGACAATGGTTGGTAAACCTGAACGTATCAATTCGTAACTTCAGCAATGAACGAAGCAGACCATAATGAACAATGTTTCCTTTTTGTTTGGAATCAATAAATGGAATGTGATTCTAAACAAAAATAAATAATCCAATGATCTTCACAAATATCGAATATAGTTTATATTGAATAAAAAACGAAACGATCAAGTAACTTAAGCTCTGATGAAACACTAGAGCATTTATGCTTCCAAGAGATGAAACGTGTCTAGAATGTCGGTTTCGGAAAGCAGGCATCTCTATTACTTACGAGCAGAGTTCCATCACAACTTGTCAAACATAGCGTTCATAATAAATACGCGTTCTGCCATGAAGACGGGAAGAATCCCAACACAAACTTCCGCGTGGGTAAACAACTTCTCATCCAAACAAACGCCCAAGTGCCACGTCGGAAAAAAATTAAATTTTAAGGACGGCAGTGCTACGTAAGGAGAGTCGATTCGTCGACGTGATGATGCTCACGTTGCTGTGTGACAAATGGCTGACGCGAGCGCAAAAAACTGAACAGCGCGGCCCGTGCGTGCTCCATGAATGATGCAACGGAAGATGAAAAACTCGGCGCGAGGCAGAACGACTCGGTGGGACGGGAAATTGTGAAAGTAGCATATAGCATGTTGGGATACGTAAACGGAAGTTCGTCGACCCAACTGCCGTTGCCGACCAGCGGGGCGATTTCAAAGTCCGATGCGCGAAGATCGGTGCGAGATGAATGTGAGCGAGTATTGTCAAAGCTGAATTTGTCCTGTAGCATGTTTCCTACACAACACGCGTCGTACTGGATTTTTAGCTTGTCGACACTACAGTGATGTTGAAGCTCCAGATTGGGTGACAGCGTCACAGAGGCAACGGACTTTTTATTTTAATCTTAGTACACATTCCTAAGCCGACATGGGTCGAGTCCCACCTTCCGCATGGATTTTTGTGCTCTGTCTCTCATATATGTGTTGTCGCGTGGGCCTCGCGTTCTGCTGACCCCAGGTAAGAGCAGCCCGCAAGCGTGTTAGTGTCAAGTGTATGGTGGATTCGAGCCCCTTCGAGACGAGCATCCAAAATGAAAGTAATATTAATTTTAGCAATGATATTTAATGTCTTACATGTATCGTTTGGATTGTATAATTGTAAAGAACCTGTAAAAAGTATTGCACTTCAGCTTCTGGGTCAACGACCCCCATCTCGATCAGGTTTTCGTCCAATTTCCCTGATCCTCGAGCAAACGCTGAGATGGGCCTTGTTTTGCTTCTTGACATAAATGTAACTTCAAATCAACTTCTCCCCACAGCACGTCACACACAGTTCACAGTTTTTGACGTAAATAAATAAATAAAATCAATAGACGTAAAGGGTAACCGGCTGTCGGCTAGATGAAAGGCCTAGTAAAAAAAGTAGAAGAAGAAGAACAAGAAGGAGAGGCGAAGGCACTCACCTTGCTTGACGGAGACGTAGCGCGCGTTGAGGGAGGCGACGAAGCTGGCCTGCGGCAGCGAGTCCTCGAGCGAGAAGAGCTCGTCCTTGGTGACGGTGGTGGAGCGCGACTTGAGCACGGCCTTGGAGCCGATGGGTGACAGGTAGGCGCCCGAGCGGTCGCGCAGGGCCAGCTGGCCCGCGTGGTACTCGGCCGAGAAGAGGCAGTTGGGGCCGCACTCGTCCACCAGCTTGCCCTCGCGGCTCAGGTACTTGTTGTTGCACGTGTGCAGGGCGTACTTGCCCGAGTCGTCGGCGCGGAACTCGAGCGTGAAGAGCGTGTCCTCGCCCCAAGGGATGTTGGCGTCCACGTGGATCTCGTCCAGGTTCTCGGAGAGGTGCGCGAACCGCTTGCGCCCCACGGAGCGCAGGTTCACCTGCAACACACACGCGGCGGCACGAGGTCAGACTCGGCAGCTACAGACCCGCACAACACCTCGACTCCACTTAGACTTTTGTGACACATGAAAACATTTATTTTATAAGGCAGGGGTGCAACAATGACCTAATGTCATCAGCCACTTAAAAAAAAAACTAAGTATATAAGTTCATTTATTTACAGAGTCTATTGACGTTTGATCAGCTGTTACCGTGTCATCCAATCGTGAATTTAAACGTCACTACTGTAGGTGTACAAGCTTCCGATTGAATCACACCGCAACAGCTGGTTTACGTCAACGGACTCAATTTTCATATCAAAGTACAGCTTCCTATCCTCGATGCACAGGATAAGCAACTCATCTCAATGACACTCATTTTGTTGGATCTGAGTGGAGCTCAACAAAAAAGCACTCTACTCTATATATCGGCTATCTTATTTAAGTTTTATTACTCGAATTATTTTTACTATTTTCGAAACATATTTCACTAAATGAAAAAACATTTCGTTTCAGATGTCACTTTTCTGGTGCCAATATCATGTCAATACTCTACAACAAGAAGCATTAAGGTATGAAAAACATTCGATGGACTAGGATTAATATCTGCCATTCATCCACAAAGTCCACTTTTCTATTGTGTGACGTTGGTGAGTACTAGCTTCGTATAATATAATTTTAATTAATTATTTGTAATTCAACTACTATTAGGGCTTAAGTATTGCGCTTTTTGTTTACATGCGAGATATACGTTGCTCGGAGAGGTACAGTACGTCAATAACACTTTAACGGTAGCCGGATTTTAGTATTCTCTCTCAACTACGGCATAACATACCGCGGGTAGTACTTCGGGTACTTGTGGACGGGATTCAACATCCACCACCCCTCAAGGCTCCCCTAATATATATATTGGAGAGGCGTTAATTGTCGACATCGTGCAACATGAACAGAATGACTTGATTGTCAAGAAATTGCTATATGGAGTATTACATATTAAAATTGAACATTATAAATCAACAGACTGCAAGTTTTATTTTTTTCCCTTATATAATCAATATAACTGCGTTGCAGGATATTACAGTAACCCCATACAATTTCATTTCTATTTCCCAAGCTCTCGGGAGAAGGACGCAGAAATGGCTACTGAATGTCAACGAGACGACAAGTTTTCGTTTATTCCACTATTAACAAAACGTATCTAAGAGTTTCACAACTGCTCATACACGAGTACACTTCATTTTTGCTTATTTCGTAACTTGGACCTGCCGTATGTAATTTGCATAATTTGGTGAGAAGTAATTACGAGAAAATTGCTTTTCAAAACAGGTAAATGTGTTCATTGTTCTAGGTGAAAATGTGTGCCCAGAAAGCTAATTAAGACGAACAAATTAGTTAAAAGCTTTACTTTTAAGTAAATTAAATGACTATTAGATACTTTATGTAAATGTTTACGAGAGCTATAAATGAATGCGGTAATCTGCGGAGAAGAATTTCGTCGCAAATGTAGGAGCAAAAAAGGTTTAGTAAGCTTCAATTTAGTACTTCGTATGCATTTTCCTAAATGGCAAAACGGGTATCCCATATTTATCTTTCTTCGATCAGTTTCTGTTAATCCATTTAGTACGCTAACAGTCCTTTCCCTCCGTATCTACCACCAAAATGTAGCTTATTTTCCCTTGAAACACCAAGATTTAAATCCCTTTTCCCTGCAATGTTCACGTAAACGAATTCATATGTGTGAAATATGATCATAACATGTTTATTTGCGTAATGTGTGTGTTACGTTAGAGTTTATAGCTTGTGTGCAGTTGACGGCTACGAGAACATAACTGCCAACCTTACAATGACGGTAGTCACGAGATGGTCAAGAATTTACTCATTACAGTAGATGTAACGACGCTTTCTGGGAGGAGAATAATGTTCACGCCGTTCACACTGCGCACAATCTCGCACACTGTTCCTCTTAAACGATTTTTATCACCCCTGCCCTGCCTCCGCCGTTTCCCCACCTCGCGTCGTCATTGTCCAACAGTCCTTCGTGCGCCGGCCGTTCTAAGTGCAGGTCCGTGTCCGCCCGCGCCGCCGACACGCGGAGCCTCTCGCGGCAGGAACAATTGCGATCTGATGGTCAGGCCGTTTGCCTCGCCCGCCGGCGGAGAGTTCGCGCGCTCGCCGTTGGGCTTGGCCGGCCTAGCGCTGCGAACTGCGCGGAACCAATCATTGGCGGTCAGAATCGGTACGAAAGGTGAAGATGTACAAAATTGAACGACAATAAGTTGGTGCTCACTGTGAAGCCGATTTTTGGCAGAAATGTCGGTCGGCCGAAGTCTGACATGTTTGCCCGAGGTACCGAATTTGTTCAAACGTGTGCAAGGAGGTTTCGTTGAAACTGGTCAACAGGAATGGCCATAGTGAATCCGAACGACCTTTTTCCGACGGCGTCTGAAATCGTCGGCTGTCTGTCGAATATCTGTTTCGTTCGTTCGTTTGTTTGTTTGTTTGTTTGTGTTTCTTTCGTTCGAAATCAGCTGGAGTGTCTCAGTCGTCTGGTAGCGAACGGCCGATATTTCGGATGCGCTGTGAGCAACTGTGTCAACGTGGTGAGCATGTAAGAGGAATAATGTTGTATTTGTCTTTGCAGATTTTAACTTTCGAGTAGAGAAGCAAATGTAATGAAACTATAGAGTGAGCATTCTTCGGATTACCAGTTTTACGAAATTATAAAACTGAATAATAATCACCCCTCGGTGAACGAAAAGAACAGAAAACACGATCAAATCACACCTATTATTCTCCACTTACTAATTTCGTTTAACAAAATTTATTGTGAATGTATAATACGCGAATAACCGAGTATATAACCGAGTGCTATGCCCTCTTTACAGTTTCGTGCTGCTTCAATGTTAGCCGCTAAACAGATCCTTCGCAGTCTTCTTATTGGATTTTGTCAGAAGTTAGACGCTACTCACTTGACAGACATCTGACGTCTTGCAGCTTAAGTAGAAGTACGAGGAGCAAATAAATGTAAACCGCTCACATGTATTTACATAATGCGCTAATACTATTTACACTCCGAACAGTCGTGAGGGAGCGCATTTTCCTCCCAGTGTTCCTCGTGTTGACTTTATAGAACTAACGCGCCAAGTAAACTTTCGAAGTCTCTAATAGGTCGCCGGTTTATTCACGTTCGCCAGCTGGCAGACGCGATTTTTTTTTGTCAAGAGCACAGCGAACGGGACTCTTGCACTCCATGCCTACGCTCTTCTGCAGCACTTGGCAGAAAATCATCTTCGTAAACGGATTCGCTGCTATACGTACGTGTAGTTGCCAATCGGTATTTTAGTTTTCGTACTTATTTCAGTAACGACCAATGATTTTATAAATTGTAACTTGGGATTACTTGTTAAATTTACATTACAATATGGCAACGTTTCGACAATAAATTCGTCTTCATGTGGTATTCCTTAAAGTACAACGAAATGTTCAGTATACCATCATGAAGATTTAATATGAATAAAATTTAAACGACCCATACCGTTATGTACAATGGCTGCGACAGTTCAGCGAGCCCGTGAATGCTGGGTGAATGCTCTAGCTGGGTTGTGACTACATAGGAAGAAACTATATGCACATTGAATATTACACGTAGCTTATATTACAGTTATTTAGATTTAATCCAGATATCAACAGGCACTTTATATACTTCAATTACCAATCGTTCAAATCTCACAAAACAAAATTTGCAAGGTGAATCATTTCGGTATTCTATGGTTCTAGGACACCTAGTTATATTCACTAATTTAAGCCTCCATAAAAGACAGCTAATTGATATTTACAATATGGTATTACGGATGGTTTGGTTAAATGTAAACTGTGACGTAAGGAGCAAACATTTCAAGCTGCTTATGTACGCACAAGGTATACATATGATGTAGTATAAATAATATTGAACTACGTACACTCTTTCACTAACAAATATATATTAACACACACACACACACACACACAAACGCACGAGGTAAAGTCCAATTGTTTGAGACACTCCCAGGCCAGCCTCCAGCCCCGTGCGCCTAAATTGGTTCGCGTTCACGTCTCGCGGCAACCCTCCATCTAGCGGCCGTCCACTCCGCGAATGTCAACCGAATGCTTCCAACTTGTCGCCCGACCGCGCCGCGCCGCCCACCGCACTTCACCCAACGAGGCGCAGCACAGTGGCTTGAAACACGCGAAAGCCCACAAAACATTTACTTTTTTCGAATTGTCCTATTTTCTAACACGCACGGAAAGCACGTTTGCAGTGAGTGTTATGTTAGTTTTTGTCTATTGAGTTTAAAGATCGGCAAACATTGAGAATTTTTAAAACTCATCATAAAGTCATCCAATTTTGGAAGCCAAATTTGATATTTCTTCGTGTAACAAAATATTTAACTTTATGTTTGTTCCTCCGCATTATTTTGTTAACTACATTGTTCACAAGGCACCAAAATTATTTTCATATTTGTTAACTCTTAGAAGTTAAAGTCCGCCAAACGCAACACTATATTTACATTTCTTAATTTTTTGAAGAATGCACATGCATGTATGTAAGAATGGAATATATATTGGTACTACAAAATATTTGAAAGTTTAATTTCCAAGTTCGAATTAACTTTCAGCCTGCGAACATTTTAAAATATCGTTTTATTTATTTATTTATTTATTTAGTTTATTTCAGACAATAGCAACGTTACTACTAACTTCCTAGATCAGCAGAAGTACAGTAGAAGTTCCATATTCTAATCACATTAAGCACTCAAATTCCTTTTTCTCCATTAACTTGGCATCCCCTAAAAGAATTCACACGGAAAGGCACTGTAGTTCTTCGCAGAGACAAACGGGTTCGTTGTCCGAAGACAAACATTTGGTGCGCGCTTTCCTCGCCCACGGACCACAGCGCGACGGAGCACAGAAACACGCGACGCGTGGGAGGTCGCTGGCGCCGCCTCCGCCCGACGGCAGCT